GTTAATTAATAATAATAATAATAAAAATAACAAAAATATTTTACCTATATATATGTTTTGGACTTAATACTGCTTCATCTTCATTTAGTATACTAATTGCTAATATGACATGACTTTGCTTTCTACCGACATTTCTACCATCACTACCAATTTTTATATTAATTTTATCACCGGGATAGAGAATAATTGGATCAGAAGTGGTTAAAACTAGAACCAAAACCATTAATAAAGATGTGATTGATCAATAAACTGCATTTTCAGTTTGATTATTAATGGTTATAATCTTGTCAAAACTCGAATTATCATTACTTTTTTTTACTTCTAAAGGTTGATCAATATTAAATAATAAGATTGGCAAGTATTGTTCTATTTGGTATCGATTTCTTTACGTCATTGTTCAATTAAATATTCACGAACCATATTTGAATCTATGACTACTAATTTCCGGTATCCATCGTGAGAAATTAATACCTCATCACATACCCGAACAAGAGAAGTATAATGTTTTTGTTGGTCTTTATTTTTAGTTAAATAATCAAGAGTTATAGCTTTATTTGCAATGTTAAGTTTTATTGATTCAAGATCTACAATCGTTGTGCCTGAAGAATCAATAAATCGATGATTATGAAAAAGATCTACTATTTGAATATTTAAGTCTTTAGCTACTAGTACAATTTGTTTGTTTTTTTAAGATTCTGACTCTAATTCTATATAAGAACATTTACGATTAACAGGTGCCTTTATTATTGCTTTATGCAGATGTTCGATATCAAAACCAAATAAAAATACTTCAGAAATATGTGTATTGGGTTTGTTACAAATATTCTATAATAAATTTTATTTATTTATTTTTTTAAATTAAATGTATAAATATAACAATAATAAATTTAATTATTTTTAATATTTACTGTTAAAAATTTAATTCTAGCATTACTTGCTGAGATCATACTACTACTTGATATTATATTGCCATAAGGATTTACCCAACTAATCGTATAACTAATATTACCAGTTGGCTGATATTCAGTTTTGTATTTTACAGATAATCCTGATAAATTAGTTTCAATTTCATATTTATCAGGAATCTGATATGCAATACTATTTTTTTTTGGAATAAATTTAGAAATAGATAGGTAATAGCCAAGTTTAATTACTTTGTAAGATTGTCACTGATTGTTATTACTTATCTTACGCATTGCTATAATGTATGGAGGTTTATTGTAAAATATACATTTATCTTTATTGTTTGGTAATTTTTGTACTAAATATTATATACAGTATTACAAACATTATTAGTTTAATAAAATATATAAATATTTACAATTACTGTAAATATAGCTAACCTTGATTTTCCATATTCTTGTTTGACTTTTTAATTGACTTGATATAATTTAAATATATTTTTATAAATTATAAAAAAATTAAAATTTACTATTGCAATAAAAAAAAAATTACAAATAAACTTATATTTGTAAAAACGCTAGTCTTGTTCAAAACTTGTCTACTTTGTTTTAGTATTAGTATAGTTATATCCAAATCTTGCTTTAGTACTAGTATAGTTACGTTGTTTGATATACTCTGATCCACATTTACATAAAGTTGAAGTTCTCATTGAGCTTTTTTGGAAGATGTAGTATATTTATTAATGGCTTTGCTTATTTTTACTTTAGAGGTAACATTATTCTTACTGGTGTAACTAGAGGTTTAAAGATGAAAGATTTATTGCGCATTGGTAATACAATGATAATACTTATGAGTAATGACCAAATATGTAATATAAATTTATCTAACTAGCCAATCATTTGTATTACACATGATTAATGTGATCTTTGTTGTGATTATTGTCTGCTTGCAAATTACTAAATAAGGGGGTCGTCTAAAGCCATGTACCCACGTGACTTTTTTATGTAAATCAACCAACCGGAATTGCGAAATTTTGTTTAC